TCCATTTAAATTACAGGTTGTAATGCAACAAAATAGGAAAAATGCCAAGTGAGATGAATACTTTTGCAAGGCACTGTAAGTGATGCGTGGTAGAAAAGCTATGTTGGCCAAGCTTTATTGTGGAGTGGATGTTCTGTGGTGGTTCGATGGGAAATTGAATAATGGGAAATGTTTTGGCAGCTGGCTGTTGATTTTCGCCACCGCCTTGTCGCTGGAAAGTCTACATCAATTGGGTCGCCCCCAGAGAGCTAGGCTAATGGAGAGGTAAATTAAGAAAACAACCACCATTATTAATGCCTGCATTCCCAAGGCCAGCTTAGCCCCAAGTTGATTTGACCACTAGCCATCCATTTTCAATCCCCCCACTTATCACAGTCATGTCAAGAAGACCACAAAGAGAGAGAGAGAGAGGAGAGGAGGAGGGAGGGAGGGAGGGAGGGAGGGAGGGAGGAGAGAGGGAGTGCTCCTCAATAAGACCTCTCTCTCTCTTTCGCCACAAGTGAAGAAACTGCTGCACCGACAAGTGGCGAGCGGCACTTCAAAATTGCATTCACATTTACCTTTATGACCTGACAATTCTAATCAATTAGGTTGAAATGCCTCCTATTACTCATCCCACTTGTTTTGTATTGACTTACACGAGCAGAGAGATGGACAGACTAGTAATGGAGCGTTTCCACTGGATTTGAACATATAGAAACCTCTCGCTGTCCTCCTGGCTGGCCAGAGACATAGTGTGTGCCTGATGGGGGCTGTCAGATCTTCATTTTAAACTAGATGACTGCGGTTCCTTTTAAAACATCTCTCAGGTTTAAGAAGTGGAAAACGCTCTGCTAGGCGTCTGCAGTCTGAGAGATAGAAAGCAAATCACAATGGAGGGGCAAAAGATCAAGCACAATAGGGTGAACACAATTACAGTGACTGTCAGATTGCTTTTTGGGGGAAGTATCCTTGCAAATGCTCTGTTCCTCTGCTGACCGTCCTTAGGCTTTGTTCTCCCATGTCACCTTGAGAAGGGGCGATAGCTGCACATGTGACAGTGGGGAGAGTGCGTCAGCCTGCTTGACTAAGGAATCATATAGCTTGTGTAGACTGAAGGTCTTATTCTATGTGGCCTGTTGTTGACCATCCAAGTTTAGGCAGCAAGGCTATGGGGAATTGAAGTGTGTTTGCTCCAGACCCTGTTGTGCCGTTTCCCCTTCCCACGGTGATCCTATCCCCGTATGCTGTCACCATCACCATCAAATCACACCATTTCTGGAAAACACCCATTATACCTGGTCATCTGCAACCCTGTCTCTGTCAGGGTGGCCAAAGAGCAAAACCTTCTGCAAAGTTTAGCAGCTCCATTTGAAATACGCAAGCTACAATTTGTCTGCCTAATCCCCAATTACATTCTTTTTGGGCTGTTTCATTAACTTCTTTCCTTTCTTGTCATGATAAAAGGGTGACAGACAAGACATGTTGCAAAGCAACTCAGTGCAAGCCGCAGCCGTCTTCCTGGCTCACATTATTGCCATTCTAGGAGATAAAGGAGCTGTTCTGCTCCAAAAGGTTTAGCTGCCGATTTCATATGAAAGCCGGTGGAGCCTGGGAGAGATAGTGGTGGAGCAGTGTGGAAGACCTGCCGACTGTGATTGACGTTAAGAAGTTGGGAAGCAGAGAAGAAGCAATCTGTGAGCAAACAGGAGACTCCTGGTGCAATTAAAGATCTAATCCGCCTGTTCTGCCCACAAACAGGAGAAATGGGTGCCTTGTTTTCCTGTGCGACAATGACAGCACCTGTTGTGGGGTCCACGTGGAGACAAAGCTTCTTTGGTGTGCGTTCCTAGACTGACAACAATATTTGCATTTTCGAACGACTCAGATAAATTTGCATCCGATAATTTAAAGGGATTTTTCTGCCTCCCTGCACCTGGTGTCTGTTGTACGACACTTAGAGATTTGATTGACATTACTTATCACCTTTCTTGGAAGTGTGAATGCATAAATGCACGTAGCAACAATATAAAGTGTCTTCAATTCTCTCACTTCTCCTCTAGGCCCTTGAGCATTAACAGTCCGGCTATGTCAAGCTAGCGAACAATAGTGCATTATGTTGGGCTTTCCATCCAATCAACATCAATCATGGTCTGTGGAGCCTGGTTGGCAGCGTCACTGATTGCCATCCAGTAGGAAGGACAGTGACTGTCCTGTCACATTCCCAGCCTCCTGTGTGTAATTTGTTTGGACCAGCAGCACATCAGCAATGCCATGACGCATCCCCATGGTAATTTAGCCCAATGGGTGACATATTCTTAAACTCTCTTATAATGCAATCATGGCCTTGCTAATCTGATTAGCAAACAAATAATGGAATCAAGCTGCAAAATAAGGTGTGAAAATATGAAATCAATACAGGATATTCAATATGGTTTCTTTGCCATTAAGGAGTCTGCTGATTGCTTATTTGATTATGATTGATTGCTGTCCTGCCTATGCACGTAATCAGGTGCTTCAGACAAGCTTTTGAATCATGTAAGCACTCTATAAATAAATATTTACCTCCATATATGCAATTATTACTTTTTCTATCTGCTGAACGCTGTGGAGACAAAGAATGCATTGTTGCTCGCCACAAAGAGCGGGCTGTACAAACAATGGGTTTTGTTTTCAACATCAATGGTTGATTAAAGATCCAGGGACGACGCCACAGTATCCTCATCCTAAATGGCCACGTTCCAGACTCCCCCACCCCTCTTTTCCCTCAACCCTCCTCACCCCTCCTCACCCCACCCACTGTGCTGTAGATAAAGGAAGATAAGGGAAGCCTAGTGCAAGGAGGGTCAGAGGGGATATGTGTGTTTGAATTGCGGGGCCAAAGGAGGGCCCTGACCTGTTTGGTATGGTGAGCCACCCGGTTGCAGCCTGCATCCATCCTGAAAAGGGGAGTTAGGAATGTGGGCACACCTTCCTAATCGCTCTGGCACCTTGCCTCTCCCAGGACCGTATATCTCCTTTTAATTTAAGGCTTGAAAAATGCTCTGGGATTTTAGCATCTGAGGCTGCCGGAATCGATGGAATTTATTATAGGGGGCTTGCCTAATCTGTAAAGTTAATGCAGGACTTCACGGCTATTGATCAGCTCTGAAGGGTACACGCGTTGTTAATCATGGCCCTCAGTGATAGAATAAACAGAATAGAGAAGAGAAGAGGGGATGGGGGGCGAGAGAGAGGGGGACAGGTAATTGTCTGCTGTGCAAATATTATTGCTTCTTTGTGTGTACGCATGTGCTAAAAGTTGATGGAGCATTGGAAGTCATAAGCAATTAATTTCTACCCACAACGTATTATTACCTGGTTGACATTTAAATGATGGAGGATGTCAGGAATCTATCTGACTCTATTCTTCTCTGGTACTTTCATTTATTTGTTCTGCTCTTTTATCTTTTAACCCCAAACTGAATAACTGAATTTTGGGTCATCATGTGGGTTGGGCACATACTAATAGGTTGACCATGTATAGCTTTGGCTTTGCCCCTCTCTCCCATTCATGGCCCATTTCAGGCTGATCCTAAATCCTTTGGTCGTTACTGAGTTCACGTCATGCACATACACTGGAGTGGATAAAGTGTGGTAAAGATTATAGTAATAGTTTTACCCTGGCTTTTTCATGTGTCCACTTGGCAGATGAAACGTATCCCTGATCATAACATGCTTCTGTTAGAATGGCCTTCTCTCGCTCTCTTTCTCTCACTATTTGTCACCGTTGGCCTCTCTCTCTCTATTGTCAGGAAAATCAGCTTTTTAAATGATTTTGCCCTTGACCAAACTTACAAACAGTATTATTATTTGGGGGGAAATGCAGTGTTCCATTCATTTCTGACGTGCCTCCCTAGGACCTGTCGAGATGTAATAAAATAAAAAATTGCCATGTGAAAATGTGCAGAAATGGCATGCTGTCACTGGCTCAAATGTTGTGTGCGTTTCCCCATGAGTGACAGACAGATAATGACTTGAGCTATGGGAGATGAGTGTCTCTACCCTCGTAATTCTTTTTCCTCTTCATTTTATTATCTGCCTTGCTTTTATTTCCGCAATTATCTCTGAATAAGTGTACATTGGCTCTACACAGAAAGGGCCTCGTATTGAACTATCATGTTGCCGGCTCGGGAAGCAAAAAAAGGGAGGCTTGAATTTTTGTTTCCCGGTTCTCTGGGTATTTATTATAAATGCCTGTACTGTCAAGAGAAGAGAGAGGAGGTCAACAGGTTGCTCCCGAAAGGCTTCCGCTCTATTACAAACAACCTGTGGCCACTCCTGGACCAATTCCCCTCCGTTGCTCACCTTCAGCAACACTGGCCACTAAATAAGTCATGACAAATGTTTTTTTTCATCACCGGTGGCACCACTCCAAATTAAACACCGCAGGGCAGCGGGTAACGGTGGTAGAGGGGTGTGAACATTTGTTCCCCCACTCTTTGTCGAGGAAAATAGGTATTTCATTCCATTTTGGTATCTATTGACATTTTCTATGCCGTAGTTCAAATGTTACTATGTTTTTCCCAAGTTAGCTCCAACATCCATGCCATTAATTTGAGACAATACACCACATTGATATAAATGGCTCAAACAAGTGTGTGTGAATAATGATTCATGGTTGGAGATGGCCCACTATCCCACAGTGTATGGAGTTGTAGAGAGCTTTATTCTTAATAACTCCCAGAGCCAACAGTCGATTTAAAATTCATGTTAACAAGTCCTCAGTCTTTATTCAGAGCTTTTCATTTTAATTAGGCTAGAAAGGAAGGACTCTCCTGGGCTGCGCTCATCTAAGGGCAGGTGATTACACCCAGCAGAGGGCCCAGCCTTTATAAATTGACAATCTGTAATTTAGCAACACAAGGGTTCACCTTTCTCCTTTTCTTTTTTTGTCAGTTTGGCCTAAAAATAACATGTTATTAACTTGCATATAGATAGAACATCTAACCTTTTTTCATTTCTTTCTTTCTGGGGCTCAGTGCAGTGGCCGTAGAGATGGGACTGCACAGTATAAGGGCAGGTCTGTTTCCACAGAGGACATTTGAGAGAGAGGCTTTTGTGTGAGGATGGCCTGCCATGCCAAGAGCCTGCATGGAGCACACGTACACCCCCCAGGCTGGCCATGGCAGAATCCTTACCCCATTACTCAATTAATGAGTGTTGCAGAGTGTGCGGGGCACCAGTGCTCACTGGTATGGAAGACTTAGCTGAGATTTAACCCCCACAACCTCTACATCTCAGGTCATGAACTTTAACCACAATAGAGGACAAATTGAATGACCCTTAACCCTCAAAGCTGGCCCCTAACTCATGTTAATGTACGGACATGAAATGCGTAGTATTTTCAATATAAAGCCTAACATGATAATACTCTTTAATAATAATCAAAATATGAATGTACAGAAAGCCCAAACCAATGCATTGCAATGAGGAAATCAGCACAGTAGACACAAATACAGTGTTATAAGTGTTTAAAGTCATGTTCCTATTAAAGCCCTTGCTGGTTGCTGAAGTGTTGGCTGCATCTCCACAATGCAAACAGTCACGGTGAGACAAAGGTGCTACTTGCACCATTGCCTTAATTGCGCAGGTAAATTGGACTATTAGAGTCATTAGTATCCAGCATGGAGCAATTGCTTGATGGATTGCGGGCCGGATTATATTGACTTTCTCCCAGGGTGATATATTGGCTAATTCAGAAGCTCTTAAAATACTGTCTGAGAGTGTCCTCCTGGTCACCAGCATCAGCTCAACACAATCCACACAGTTTACGTTGCTAATTTGCTTTCCCCCATTTTCTCTCACATGGACATTTAATCCTCATAACGGCCTCATTATTTGTCTATGGATATGTTCTAATCTGGGGTTGAGGAAAAGAAAAGTGGAGCTTTGTGTAGACTGGCCGCTGTGCTGCTGAAGGACAATTGTCAGGCGCCATCATCAACACCTCGCTTTCACAGTGTATCCACATGGAACTGATGTGTTAATACTGTCTAACCGTGCATATTTCTGTGACTGACATGTTAGTGGCAGTATATGTTGTCCCCAAATCAAATGACACTGTACACAAACAGGTCTCTCCAGTGATTTTATTTTGGCCATAGTTGTAGTCATGGGTTTATTTCTCTCCTCCAGAGCCGATGCGGACCCCGAAGAAGCTGAAGATTGCGGAGACCCAGGCCAGGTTCATCGCTGTGGACTGGGAGTCTCTGGGCTACAACATCACCCGCTGCCACACCTTCAACGTCACCATCTGCTACCATTACTACAACGCCAACAATCAGACCAAGGCCGACTGCCTGGACATGGACCCCAAGGCCCCACGCCACGTGGTGGGCAACCTGCCCCCCAACACCAACGTCAGCCTCAAGATGATCCTCACCAACCCCGAGGGACGCAAGGAGAGCGACGAGACCATCATCCAGACAGATGAAGATGGTATGCACTGTACATAACGGATAGTTGTCACGAAAACAGGGAGGCTCTTTTTAATGTTCAGATTTCAGATGTAGAATTCACACTTATTCATCAGTGCTAACGATCAAGCTCACCCACATACATTGTGCGTGTTTTTATATCTCTATAATACTAATTTATTTTGAAACGATAGCTGTATCGCGCACTGTTTCTAGCCAGTTGAGATTGACTCATGCTCTTTGCTGCCCCCTGTGATTCCTACAGCTGGGCTGTTAGTCATTTCAAAGCAGGGCACGTTTTTCCCCTGCTGCTCTCTGAGTAAACACTAGCTGGATAGCTAACCAAGGGCTGAGATAACAGCACTGGCGGCAGCCTGGAATTTGTAACTCACATTAAACGCTTCAGCATTATAATCATGCAGCTAGGTGACCAGCTCTATCCTGTGGCTACCGGCAGACGTTGTCCCTTTTTTATATTTATTTTATTTAACCTTTATTTAACCAGGTAAGCCAGTTGAGAACAAGTTCTCATTTATAACTGCGACCTGGCCAAGATAAAGCAAAGCAGTGTGATAAAAACAACAACAACACAGTTACATATGGAATAAACAAAACGTACAGTCAATAACACAATAGAAAATCTATATCCTTGAAGAGGACCTTTAAATCTCACTTCACGTTCACACAAGCCCAGGACATAATGATATGGAAATGACTGAGCCTTCTGTAATTGTTCCACCAGAACTTATTTGAACTTTTCCCTGATTCTGCATGTATCTAGAGCTTTGATTTTGGGCTTATATTCCAGTCCATCTGTCTGATTTGTTTTTAGCATGTCAAACCAAGCCCATTTTCAGTAGCATCAGACAGGAAAAAGGAATGCATGCATTTAGTTTTTTATGTGGAAAAAGCTGATGTCTCAGTGACATCCATCCAGTAGATTTGATAAATATAAGTTTGTCTGACTGGGGGGTGAGGAGAGGAGAAGAGAGGCCTACGTAAACAGTTCCTCTAACACTGATCTGGAGACAGCAGACACGCACGTACGCGCCGCCCCGGGCACTGCTCCTCTCTTCAGACAGACAGGCCTGTGAACTGGTCACGCTACTGCTCTCTGTTTGTCTGTCTGCTGTGAGGGAGAGGGCTTTGGACATCCCCGACCCAGCCTGACTAGACTAGAACACAGCCCAGGGAGACAGGCATGCAGGCAGACACAGCCCCATGGCAGAACAGTCCCGTGGCAGCCATAGAGACCCATGGGACTGCCAGGTTTCATCAGTAGTGATGAGGCTGTCAGTCAGTAGTGTTCACCAATCCAGGACATATTACGAAGGTCCTCAGAATATTAGGCTACCACTGTTACCCATTGACAGCCCTGCTATCTCAGCTATTGTACTTCTAAAACATTAGACATAACACTTGTTTGGATCCAATGTTATGTTTAGTGGATAGGAAGTATCTTTGTAGAGTGTTCCTATACATTAACGTTCTGGATTGGAGATTCTACTCAATACATTTTATTTTTCACTGATCAGTATTCATGTCACAGAGGTCTGGCACGCTGGTTTCTCTGGCTGATGGATGTGCTCTAATGGTGAAAGGGATAAAGCCCCCAAATTAAAGGAGACTCATTTGATCATAAAACATGCAGACAGAGAGAGAGGATGCTCTTGAAAGGACATTGCACCTTGATCTCATCTCATGTAAATACATTGTCGAAATTCAATAAAAAACACCAGGGATTTGAGTGTCTGCCATTCAGTGCAAGCACAGCACTCTACATTATTATGCCATTTTCAACATGCTGCTTTACTGTAAGTAAAACCAATCAGTGGTCTCGTTACGGGCGCAGAGGCTCAGGAGTGGCTCTCTCTGTGAAAATAGGATTCATTACAGCACAGTGGCCTTCCTTTGATTGCATTAGGACTCACTCCTCCTGTCTTCTGTCCTAATGCAGTGCCTGGCCCCGTTCCCAGCCAGTCCATGAAAGCCACACCGTTCGAGGATCGGATCTTCCTCTACTGGAAGGAACCACTGGAGCCCAATGGGATCATCACCCAGTATGAGGTAATGAAGCATTATGGTCAGAAGGAGGTGGGGGGAGGGAGGGGAGGGGAGGGGAGAGTTGGGGAAGGGAGGGGGGAGGGAGAAGTGGGGGAGGAGGGGAGAGTGGGGAGGGAGGGAGGGAGGGGGGAGGGGAGGGGGGAGGGAGGGTGGGGAGGGAGGGGCGAGGGATGGGGGAGGGTGGGGGAGAGTGGGGATGGAGGAAGGAAGGAGGGGGAGGTGGTTTGAGGGAGGGGGGTCTCGAGGGGAGGTCGGGGCGCGGGGGGGGGGAGGAAGTTGGGGGAGGCTTGGGGGTGTCGGAGGGGAGCGTGGGGAGGAGCGAGTGGGAGCTTGGGGGAGAGAGAGTCGAGGAGTGAGGTGCGGGAGGGAGAGAGACGAGGGGAGAATTGGAGAGGGAGGGAGCGTAGACAGGTCTGTCTATGATCCACATGTGGTTTGTATATCTAAACCATGTTGCACAGGTTTTATGAACCTTTAGTGTCTCTCTGGAAAGCTGCACAGATGACTGAAAAACATCCTGCTCCTTTTTCAGACAGAACTATGGTGCAAATATTGTAAATCAAAAAGGGGATTATGGGTCCGAAGGTTAACTCATTGTATGTTATTGTAGCAGAATACCTTTTAGAGTACTACTTAGATACAGTATGCAGAGAAGGTGTTCTGATCCATAATTAACTGTATTGTATTTCTTAAGGTCAAAACAATAACATACAATGATAGGTAGCTTGTGTGCCATGGGGGTGTATGGGAAGAAACATTTCCTAATTCTCAAACGTCATCCAGCTGTGAGAATATGAGAACACTGACTCACATAATCCATGGGAATGTAACATGACACTTACTACATAATGACATGGGAAGTTACATGCTCAACTTCTTTATCACACATTTTAGTTCAGGTTTATGAGATTGTCTCCATATGCATTCATATGCACCACAAGTCTTAGTATGCATGTTGTAAACACAATGCAGAAAAATCACTCAAAACTAATTTCATTTGTTTTACTTTGCTATGTACTTTGCTATGTATGTGCATTCCACTTACTTAAAGACAGATAAAAAAAATTATATCACGGCATAATGTTACAGAAAGTCCATTACAATTTGCTTGAACACTTTTCGGCAGCTCATTAGGTAAGTATTGTATTTCCCTTTCCTCTCCCTCCCCTAACAGATCAGCTACAGTGGTATTCGGTCCTTTGACCCCTCGGTGCCGTTACTGCGGCCTCCTCTGATCGTGTCTCTGCCCTGGAACACTTCTCACCACGTCTTCAACCAGCTCCACCCAGGCACCACCTACCAGTTCATCATACGAGCCAGCACTGTCAAGGGCTTCGGCCTCCCAACCACACTCAACGTCACCACCAACATCTCTGGTACATTTATTTAAAGGCCCAGTGCAGTCAAAAACGTGATTTCCCTGTGTTTTATATACACTGAGTATACCAAACATTAGGAATTCCCCCCCCCCCCCTTTGCCCTTTGAACAGCCTCAATTAGTCAGGTAGTTGTCAAAAGCGTTCCACAGGGATGCTGGCCCATGTTGACTCAAATGCTTCAACATATTACACCCCATTGCCGTCAATTACCCCCACTCTTGCATTTTTCCTCCATCTGTGATTTTGCATTTCATTCTTGTCTGTCTTTTTCCTCATAGCCCCAACACTGGAGGAGTATGATGGGTCCGAGGCGTTTCTGAATGAGACGGCCACCACTATCACGGTCCTACTGAAGCCAGCTCAGGCCAAAGGTGCCCCTATCAGGTAAGATAACTAATGCCTGGCTTTGTTCTAGTCCAAGGGTTCCATCCAGTCATTTTAATGACGCTCCTCCATCCGTTTGCCTGACCTCTCTGTCAGTATGTTTGTGTTGTGTTCTTTCCTGTACCTCCCTGTCCCTTAATGCAGCACAGCTCACAAATAGAGAGAGCAGTGCTGGGTAATGTTCGCAGGGCATTTAGATATTCAGGTCCATGGCCCTGCCGATCTCTATTTGATTTGGCCATTGTTGGCCTGTACCTTTTCATTTCCCCTCCCCTATCACAATCGGCAGGAATATGGAGTTTGAAGGTACTTGTCATAAAGGGGATTTGAAGATAACTCTTTGCTCTCAGATTCAGTAAATCAGCTATTATGCGGCTAAGCCTGGGCTTCGATTGTGAAATTGGAGGGGCTGCAGATGGGGAGAGGAAGGACAACAGCCCTGAATACAAAACCAGCTGACTGCATTTCTTCCTCACAAGCACTCATTCAGTAGATGTGGCAGTTGTTGCTAATATGTCACACACGCCTCTAAATGTGGCTGTTTTTTTGTCTGGGATACAGATGTTGTGTACAGTATTGTTACAGATATCATAAAGATTAATCGCATAATCAGATACCAAATATGCAATGGAGGGTGGGTATTAAGATTGGGAAATACACTGCAACTAGGATTATGTCATGTTTTTACCAGCTTAAAGGTGCAATGCAGCTGTTTTTATCTCAATATCAAATAATTTCGGGGTAACAATTAAAGATGCAGTCAAGGATCTTAAGCACAACAAATTTGTAACATGTTGTACGAACTGGGTTCGTAACATATCATACGAAATGCAATTAAATAATATGAAAATATTGGAATTTTTCAGGACTTAACATATACGAAATGGATGACGTAGTAAAACACAAAAATCTAGTTGTTTAATGGCATGGGCCTTTAAAGGATTTAGGAGCATCAACGAAACAAAGACGTGTGTTTTTAAAATAGACAATGATTCAGAATTGGACAGATTGTGGCCTGAGTGCATTATCAAAAGTATAGTTTCATTTGACCAGTTTTTGCTGTGCGCCGTAAAACTGGCCAAGCTCTGATGAAAGCCGATTGGCTAATCACGCAGCAACTCTGTGCAGCGGTAATTTAGAGAGGGTTGGTTAAGGTGTGTATGAGGGATTGAGCTATAGCGAGCCTCAGGCCATCTGCTCAAATAATTTGTAACAGTTTGACATGCAATACAAGGAAGTGGAAACGAGCCAGAGCACTCACTCTATTTCGGTGGAAGGGGGCAGATTTTGTGTCCATCTGCGCCCGGCATTATGGAGTGTCACTTGCATTTTAGATCTGCGGCGCTTTGAGCTAAAATAGGAGCTATGGAAGGTCAGGGAGGTGGCGAAGGCTGTCAGGCCGCTGGGCGCTAATGGTGAGGGAAGGGTGGACGGGGGGAGAGAGACGCACCCCTGGGCAGTCATTACAAAGGGTGGGAGGGGGGGTCGCACTCTCGGAGCGGAACTAAGGGTGGCGAAGTCCAGGAGGGGGGCTCTGAGCTGTGGAGTTGGAAGGAAGGAGTGTCTGCTAGGTTTACAGCTCCATGGGTGTGTGAAAGTGCTCCTCTCCTCGCTCTGCGCTGTGTTACTACGTTGCCCTGGCACTGTGGTTAGTCCTTGTCTTGCCACGTTAAGACCCTTAGGGGGAGAGACGAAGCACAGCAGTGTGACTTTGAAATACTAATGAGAGACGTGACCTGTTTACTCCCACTGGAGTTTCATCAACCTTTTCTCTCTAGTCTACAGCCTCCCAGTCTGAGAGAATGGATTGTTATTCGTTCAAGGCTATGTGCAGATAAATGGTCTCAGGTAGAGATATCAGGGCCTGTAGCGTACGATGTTGCCAAGCCAGGGCTAATTCAAGGAGTTAAACTCATTTGGCATGCCCTGTCTGTGCTCCGTGAAGTGAGAGATTGCTTTAAGATTAGCCTGCCTTTGGTTTGGCTAGCTGACTTTGTTTTCCTGTGTGTTTTGTGGGGACTGATTGCCTGTGATGTCCTGTCCCTCTCCGCAGTGCTTATCAGATTGTGGTGGAGGAGCTGAACCCACATCGCACGCGCAGGGAGGCCAGCTCCGTGGACTGCTACCAGGTCCCAGTCTCCTTCCACGCCTCCAGTGGCGGTTCGCCGTATTACTTTGCGGCAGAACTCCCGCCAGGGAACCTTCCGGAGCCCTCTCCATTCACGGTGGGCGACAACAAGACATACCACGGCTTCTGGAACCCTCCACTCGCCCCCAGGAAGAACTATAACATCTACTTCCAGGCCGTCAGCAGTGTGGAGAAGGTGAATATACACCACACTCTATCAGCCAATAGGACCCTTTAATGTTCCCTCATTGGGTTATTGGGGTTTTAAATCTGTCTTAAAACTGAGTTTTACATTGAGGAGCATTGTTTGCCACCCCACCCTTTTGAATTAATGAAAATCCTTTCTTATGTTGTACTATATATATTTTTTTATTTTATTCTTTTTTTTGTTTCACAGGAAACAAAAACACAATGTCTGAGACTTGCAACAAAAGGTAAGACTTTTATTTTTGCTTATTTGTACAACAATAAAAGTCCTTCTTGCCCAATATTAATGCATTGACTGTACAGTACAGTTGGATTTCAATCACTTTTCCCAGTAGCCAATGAATGCCCTCTCTCGTGTTCCAACAAAGAACTTTTACGTCATAATGCGTGTGCCACTTTATTTTCTGTCGCTCTTCCAAGAGAAGTGTTGTGCAGCGAGGATCTGGATTGAGGCAGAATTAAGGAAAGCTTATTTATTTGTAATATTTGCACTTGTAAAGCACATTCACTGGCGAACAGCTTGTTTCTGTGGGAACAGGGGGCTAGCAGTGCCAACCCTTTGGATTTCACAGACAGAGAGAGAGAGAGCTCACTGGTTTTTATCATGAAGCCATGCTGTTGGTTTTTAGTGATTAAGAGGGAGTGGTCATTAAATTGATACAATTCATACAGTGCCAGCTCATCCGTGGTGTAAATCGGAGGGAAATAGGTTGGCGATTTATGGACTCTGTCCTCTGGCTTTGCACTATTGAAATTACCTGCATTATAGATTATGGACAACATTTATGCTGAACATGCATTTTTGCAAGTGCATTGGCATTAACTAAAAGTATTTCAAGTACTTATGGCCATGTCTCTTACTACAATTAAAAGGCCAGTCAGTTTAGCTTCAGCATCACATTCAAAAGGCACTAGGCTAGGTGACATAGTAGCAATAGTCCCATCAAGTCGACAGGTAATTGAGTTCCACCCTACTCTCTCCTCTTCTATCCTATCATCTCTCCCTTTGGCTAAATCCGTTTCCCTCCTGTCTCCTGATTCTGCCTCTTCGACCCTACTCTCCTCCCTTTCCGCATCCTATGACTCGCACTGTCCCCTTTCCTCCCGGCCGTTTCGGCCCTCCCCTCCTGCTCCATGGCTGAGTGACTCATTACGAGCTCTCAGAACAGTGCTGTGGGCAGCTGAGCAAAAATGGAGGAAAACTAAACTTCCGGAGGACCTATCATCCTTTCACTCCCTCCTCTCTACCTTCTCTTAATCTGTATCCGCTGCTAGCCACTTTCTACCACTCTAAATGTCAAACTTCTGCCTCTAACCCTAGGAAACTTTTTTCCACCGTCTCCTCCCTCCTTAATCCTCCACCCCCTCCACCTCCCTCCTCCCTCTCTGCGGACGACTTTGTCAACCACTTTGAAAAAAAGGTTGATGACAGCCGCTACTCATTCACTCAGCCTATTGAGTCCACTGGTCTCACTCACACAGAACTACCCTACGCCTTGATCTCTTTCTCCCCTCTCTGTCCAGATGACATCCTGCGACCAGTGCGGTCTGGCCGCCCAACAACCTGCCCACTCAACCCCATCCCCTCCTCCCTTCTCCAGATCATCTCTGGAGACCTTGTCCCATTCCTCACTTCCCTCATCAACTCATCCCTGAACACTGGCTGCATCCCCTCTGACTTCGAAATGGCCCGAGTTGCTCCTCTCCTCAAGAAACCAACACTCGACTCATCTGATGTCAAAATCTTTAAACCTGTATCTCTTCTTTCTTTTCTTTCCAAAACACTTGAGCGTGCTGTCTCTGGTTAACTTTCTCGTTATCTCTCTCAGAACGATCTTCTTGACCCTAACCAGTCAGGCTTCAAGACGGGTCACTCAACCGAGACTGCTCTTCTCTGTGTCACGGAGGCTCTCCACACTGCCAAAGCTGACTCTCTCTCCTCTGTTCTGATCCTCCTAGATCTATCCGCTGCCTTCGACACCGTGAATCGTCAGATCCTCCTCTCCACCCTCTCAGGGCTGTGCGTCTCAGGCTATGCACACTCTTGGATTGCATCCTACCTGGCATTCCGCTCGTACCAGGTGACGTGGATAGGATCTGTGTCTGCACCACTGTGACTAATGGTGTCCCCCAGGGCTAGGTTCTAGGCCCTCTCCTCCTCTCTCTATACACCAAGTCACTCGGCTCCGTCATATCCTCATGGTCTCTCCTATCATTGCTATGCGGATCACACTCAACTACTTTTCTCCTTCCCCCCTTCTGACACCCAGGAGCGTGACACGCATCTCTGCGTGCCTGGCAGATATCTCAACTTGGATGTCGGCCCACCACCTCAAGCTCAACCTCGATAAGACGGAACTGCTCTTCCTCCCAGGGAAGGCCTGCCCGCTCCAAGACCTCTCCATCACGGTTGACAACTCCATAGTGGAGCCCTCCCAGAGTGCAAAGAACCTTGGCGTGACCCTGGACAACACCCTGTCGTTCTCTGCAAACATCAAAGCATCAGTAGAGTACAACCCTACCTCACACAGGAAGCGGTGCAGGTCCTAATCCTGGCACTTGTCCTCTCCCGTCTGGACTACTGCAACTCGCTGTTGGCTTGGCTCTCCGCTTGTGCCATCAAACCCCTGCAACTTATCCAGAACGCAGCAGCCCGCCTGGTTTTCAACCTTCCCAAGTTCTCTCGTGTCACCCCGCTCCTCCGCACTCTCCACTGGCTACCAGTCGACGCTTGCGTCCACTGCAAGACCATGGTGCTTACCTACAGAACAGCAAGAGGAACTGCCCCTCCCTACCTTCATGCTATGCTCAAACCCTACACCCCAAACCGAGCACTCCGTTCTGCCACCTCAGGTCTCTTGGCCCTCCCACCCCTACGGGAGGGCAGCTCCCGCTCAGCCCAGTCCAAGCTCTTCTCTGTCCTGGCACCCCAATGTTGGAACCAGCTTCCCCCTGAAGCTAGGACAGCAGAGTCCCTGCCCATCTTCTGAAAACACCTGAAACCCTACCTCTTCAAACAGTATCTTAAATAATCCTCCTCCTCACCTCGACCCCCCCCCCCCCCCCCCCCCCCCCCCCACCCTTCTAGCTCTGACTCTACTGATAGCTACGTTATTGAGGAAAAATTTACTTTCTATGCCTGTGATATGTGGTTGTCCCACCTAACTATCTTAAGATGAATGCACTTAATTGTAAGTCGCTCTGGATAAGAGCGTCTGCTAAATGACTAAAATTAAATAAATAAAAATTGTACCCCAGCAGCAACTTTAATTCCACTAGGAGGTATGAAGACTAGGAGGAATGAAACTAGCAGAACCCTACTGTCTTTCAGTTGAGAGCTATATGATGATATTGCTACTGGCAAAACATCTCTTAATCAAAACATCTCCTGATCTCGGATGTCAGCCTAAGGTGGCAGCTAATGCTAATCAGTTTAGCTGCATCAGGTTTCAGCGAAGGTTGACATCACTAACGTTGTGCTTGCTAGGAATCACAAGCTTGCATCCCTTACATTACGTCACAGATAGAATGGGACATGGAACTCATTATCAGTGATGATGTTGTCACCCACAATGGTGTGTTATTAACATAGATTAATTTAGCTTTATCTCTATGCTTATCAGTTGGACTCATATTTATGTTTGAATGTTTTTGTGTTTTTCTCATTGATTCGGACAATTATCCCCGTAATACAGTTCTTATTAATCAGTTAAGATGCAGATTTATAAGTGCTGTGTATTTTCAACGGCCAAGCTTAGAAATCAGCCCACAAATGCTATTAGATTATCAGACGTGGAAAGCACTGTATCTATAATCTGTAAACAGCTGTCTATGCATTAACACACCAGTGGTTGGACTTGTTGTTCATTTCAAAGATCGGACAGGAAAAATAGTGCAGTATCTTTCATCGTGGCTTTGGCAGAGAGAATCCATTGGCCACATCAACACACTCTTATGAAGTGACTGAACTGTGGATGATTTTTATTAGTGTCACAATTATGTGTGCCAATGTTGTCAGTGTCACTACAATTAGGGGTGGGTGGTTTCATGACTGGAAAAGGAGAATACCAAACGTAACTGTTGATTTCTAAATCCAGTAATAATAATGAACTAGGTAAAGTACAACAATATTAGTGTTACATCCTCCCTTAACAATGTTGTTTAGTCTGAACATTAAAACGGTCCATTTCCCAGCACTGTGTCCTGCTCAGAATTTCAAGTAGCTCTGTGTGTGTCCATGCAGTGTCCACTTGGAGTATGTGTAGGCTTTGGCTACTTGTGCCTGTCACACTCAATCACTCACGGTTTCCATTTGTGATACATTAAATGCCAGAAGTGCTCTCATTCTCTGAATTGAAAACCACCTTAATTGCCCTAACTTAATTGGATATGAAAGCTTTGTTGTTTTTTTACTTATTTTTTTTGTACTGTTGTCATTAATTGTTTTCCGCGTACAAATGTCTCCGAAGCGCATTGGCCCGGAGGTTGTCAAACCAATCCAGACAGAATTTGATAAGGGCTCTGCCTTGTAGCCCACCGTCAGGAATTAAAATAGATTTTCATTTTAAGCAGGGAATTGTATCTACAAAATAGTTGTAATCCAATTCCATTTGAATTTCCTCCTGTATTTTTTCATGAATGTATCTCATAAACTCTAACAGAAACATAAGTGTTCTTGAGGCGAGATGGGGATTATGTCTCAAGCAATACCTTAAAACATTTGATACTGGGCTGCAGACCTGATTAATAACCTTTTAACTGGTGTCAACATCTATTGGGAAACCTGCTCTGCTAGTAAACCTATTGGTTTTCTTGTAGTGCTCCATATTACATTTGTTATAGTGCTCTTGATGGCATAGTCTGGCTGTTGCATGTAAAGCATTGAGTGCATTAGTGTGTTGTATGCCTATGAGATGTTTTACCATATGGAAGAAAAGAAAAAAACTCGAAAAGGTGACATTTCTGTGACTGACTCCAATACTTTTCTTTCATTTTTCCTTTGTTCCATAATATTTGCTGCAATGAATGATAAGCAACCTTTGACAGAAAAACACATAGTTCTATCCTAGTAATATCCTGCCTTGTTTATCACCATATGACTACATTCAGGAATACTCTCAGCAGATCCAAACTATTCTGCTTCAGTTAATTTAGCAGATTTTTTTCGGAATGTGTTTGAACCTGACTTAAATACCAGAAAATTGTTTCGGTACAGTCACTTTCCTGGGTACAATAGCATGGCTAAAGTGAGGGTGAAAGAGCTGTCAAGTGTTGATGTGTTAAAGCTGGCGGCATGGCCAGTGGGTGACAACGTGAGAGACAAGGACAGTTTGTCCTGCTCCTCTGGGACACTTTCTGTAGACATCCGTCTCCCTCCAACCTGATAGCGAGAGGGAGAGATTTGCAGAGGCACACAGAGAGGAGTGTGTGAGGTAGGGGGCTCACTGT